CCATGGCCTGGTATCTCCACAGAAGTCAGCCATGGCCTGGTATCTCCACAGAAGTCAGCCATGGCCTGGTATCTCCACAGAAGTCAGCCATGGCCGGCTCTTGTTGTCGCTTGCCTGAAACTTTACTATCACATCCGATTTTAGCAATGTCATCCCTCCAGTTTATTCAAGCTCAGCAGCTGCTCCTTGGAAACCGTATACAGGGTCGCTGTGGGTCGGAACCAACTCAACGACACTTCACAACACCAACCAAATTCATTCTTCATAAAAGCTCATGTGACTTTTGAAAATGTCAGTTCAGAACAAGTTTTTCTGCCAGAAATACTCAGTGGCTTACTGTCATTATTTGTAGCATTAATTTAATTTCCTCCAGTGGCTTTCTACGACACATGTGCCTCTTCGATAGTGCCTAACTGCCTAATTTTCCTGAGTTCTACTTTAGCAGCCAGTCCTAGCTTTCATGATCATGCTCACGTTTTTACCCCTTTGGGTTTTTACATTATGTTCTCTCTTCTAAGATTGTTGCTCGTCTAATTTTTTATATCAAGTTGCTTATTCTTACCCTGTGATGTCATCTTAACTTTCTATTTCCTGTGGGTGCTTAGATAAGATTGACCTATGAACCTGGTCAACTTGATGGCAGATAACAACAAAAATCTTTCCTTTCACCTTCTTACCATTTCCCACATTTTATAATTTTGTTACTTCTTTGATTACTGGTTGTTTAAAAAGTCAGTAATAGTTCCGTGAAGACAGAGAATACAAGGGGCTTTAAAAGTGGAAATGGTCCCTGATTTTTTCATTCCATTTGTCTGTGAACTTCTTGAAGCGCCTTGTGTGTTTCTGTAATGTCTCCCATGCCATCTTACTCACTAAATTATTTGTTGGGGTGAATAGATGTGTCCCTGAAATCCTGGATCACATTTACCTCTATCTTCTTTTGTTCTGTTCCAGTACTATTTTCTATTCCTATTTCTGTCACCGTTTTCTGGGGTCCTGTTTGGAAAGCATGCCACATGACATTTATTGTAGACTCTCAGCCTTGTTTCTACAGGAGCTGACTTTCCTTTTTCTGTAATACTGAGCGTACAACTCTGGCATTTTTGTACCCTTTTTTTGCCCCCTCCCTAAAATGACTGGATATTCTCTTTTTCCTTTTTTTTCTAGGAAAAATATGGACGCCTGACAGTATGCAGCAGCACCCTGAAAACCAGAATGACCTTAAAAGTTTGGAAAGGTGTCTGCAAAGTTTCACTCTTGGAAATCATTTTGGTTTGAGCAAAAGTCTGTCTCCTTCTATACAAAGACACAACACATTGTTTGACTCACATTGTAGAAGTCTAAAATCTTGTTTAGATTTTGTCATCCAGAGTAGAAGAGGTGCAGGGAAAGACTATTATGAGTTCAGCGGTTATGGGAAATCATCTGTCCACATGAAGCATGGTAAAACTCTTCCTGGAATGAAATACCATGGATGTGCTAAACCGAGTAGCACGAAGTCACAGCTCAATGACTGTCCAAAAACGTCTACAGAAGAGCAACCACATAAATGCAGTGAGTGTGGGAAAGTCTTTTCCAAAAGGCCACTGCTTTTGTACCATCAGCGAATTCATACGGGAGATAAACCCTATGTATGCGGCGAGTGTGGGAAAGCGTTCACTTGGGAGAGCCGGCTCAAGAGACATCACCGATCTCACATTGGGGAGAAACTCTATGGGTGCAACGAGTGTGGGAAATCCTTCTCCCAGAAGGCATACCTCATTGTACATCGGAGACTTCACACAGGAGAGAGGCCTCATGAGTGCGCTGAATGTAGAAGAACCTTCGCTTTTAAGTCAGCCCTGACCAAGCATCAAAGAATTCACACAGGAGAGAGACCTTATGAATGTAGTGAGTGTGAGAAAGCCTACAGATGCAAGTCTGAGCTCATCCAGCATCAGAGAACTCATAATAGGGAGAGGCCGTATGAATGCGCTGAATGTAGGAGAACCTTCCTCTTTGAGGCAGCCCTGACCAATCATCAGAGGATTCACACAGGAGAGAAACCCTACGAATGTAGTGACTGTGAAAAAGCCTTCAGAAGCAAGTATAAACTCATGCAGCACAAGCAAACTCACACCAGAGGGAGGCCATATGGATGCAGCGAATGTGACAAATCTTTTACCCACATGTCATTCCTCATTAAACATAAGAAAACTCATACTAAAGAGAAACCGATAAAGTCACCAAAAGTGGGAACACCTTCCTCAGTGACTCACAGCTCCTTATACAAGAGTGAACTTCTACGGGACTTAGACCCCATGAATTCTGTGCCAGTGGAAATGCCTTATTCGGGAACTCAGCTTTAAATCTCAGTGAGCTTGTAGGGGCTAGAAATACTGCGGTTGTGGACCTGCCTGTGTAGAGGTCAGGCCTTTGTAAATGATCCGGAATTCCCACAGGGAGTAGAGGTTGTAACTGCAGTGAATGTGACAACGCCTCCTCTCAATTATGTCTTGTATGTTACAGATAGTGTTCAGGGAGGAAAAAAGCCCTCAGACATGAGAGATGGACAAGAAATGTGGAAAATGTCTAACTACAAAAAATTTCAGGATCCCTTGCACACATAAGCATTGGATTAGTAATTGCAAGGCTGATGGTTCAAACCCAGCAGCTGCTCTTGGAAACCCTGTACAGGGTCACTGTGAGTTGGAACCTACACGATGGCACACAACAATGTAGCGTAGGAACATGACGCAGTGGCTGCGGAGAAGCCTTCTGTGTGAAAGAAGAGTTGTTAAGCACCAGATACTGGACAGAAATGTAGCTTTTGTGGGGAAGTCTTAGACTGGAAGTGAGGTCTCAAGTGCTGTCGAGTAATTTTTACAGGTTCAAATCTTAAGAATGAATGGGAGGTTTTCAGTGATGAATTTGTACCTCAAAACATGCAAGTTTGGTGGTTCAAATTCACCAGCTGCTCCTCAGAAGCCCTATATGGGGTCACTGTGAGTCAGAACTGACACAACGGCACTTAATAACAACATGTCAGAGATACAGAAACAAAACTCTCCATGCATGTAATGCGGAAAACATTTTTTTGTTAAAATACAGATGGAATCTTAGAAAAAAGTAACCATTTGGATAAGCAAGGGGCAAGGTGGGTTAGACCCTCCCACCCCCCCTGGAATTGAACTTGGGCTTTGCCTTCCCACATTGTCATTCGCTGTCAGTAGTCACTCCAGGGGGCACACAGACTTAAATGACACCTTACAAACTCAATGCTTCAGAATAACCCAAATGTCATTCTCTGTTGACTTGCCCTAGCCCCAGTGGATTTGTTAATGTCTAAAACCAATAGAATTCACCAAGAACATCTACAGATGCCCATACATTATAATCAGAAGGATAAAAGCTAAGAGACACATCAGGGATGGTTAGGTAGAAGTTCAGGCAGGAAGCCTTTGTCTCCAGGGACATGCCACCTTTCCCACAGGTGAGCGTGGGAAACTAATCAGGAAGCCCAGCTGATCCCTGTTTCAGCCCTCTTTTATAATGTGTATGCATGATTGAAGTAAGAATATAAATAATTGCACCATATCCTCCTCTTGACTTCCTGAGGTTTTTTTGCCAGGTGTGATATTAAGGGCTTCTGAACTATTTGTACAGGTTTGTGTTGCCTGGCGGTTTTTAGAAAACCCACAGACTCTTTAATTGCTCAAAAAATTCCTTGGACTGCTTTTAGGAACCAGAGACAAAGGCCAAATCAAGTTCTTTGCCCACATCTCTACAAGCAGTATATGGTGGGGAGTCTATCACCAATCTGCAGGGCAATGAGTTGCTTCATACGACCTTTCTACACAGGGTCTTGTAACCCCCACAAAAACGTGGGAGTGTAACTATACGAAGAATGTATGTAAAACTTAGTTTCAAATGATTTCACATTTGAAATCAGGGAGCTGGGAAGTTGGTTGGAGCCCTGCAACTTGACATTCAGCTCTGAGAGGTCCTTGGTAATGTCCACCATGAACTGTAGCGCACACAGCCACCTATCACTGAATTAATTCCCTGACAGGTTTTCCCTTCATTTTCATGAATGCTTGACTTCATCTTGCAGTTTGTAAAACCTTATGAGCATGTTCCCGCAATTCAGTCACCACACTTCACAGTGATAAACAAGATCACCGTACTCAGAGTCAAGATCATTCAGTAACTCTAAACTGGTGGCTGTTTTAAAAATTTGACAAAATTGCTTTTGACAAAACGTATGCATGACATCCACGGTTGCCATCACGTTGTTGAATTGCAACGAGTGTGCACAAAGCCGTTCTTGGTGTATGATGCAGTGGCATATAATTGAATCATTATAATTAAATCACTTGGATCAAGACTGACATGATTCAGTTCTTTCCTGACAAATACAATTAACCCTTTGTGAGCCAACCATGGCTGCAGCGCCATCTCTAGTAAGACCACTTAACTTTTCAAATGTTAGCTCAAGTTTTTTCATTGATAAAACAAGTCCTCACCTCTTGTAATACCATGCATGGCTTCCAGTGACAAGCTCTGCAGTTATCCCATAAACAAAAACGGCCAGTTGGGCAGTATTTGTTATGTCCATTGTCTCGTCACAAGCCAGACAGAAAATTTGGAAATTTCCTGCAGGAGGCTTAATTGTTTTTTCAGTATTTTGTGCTCAGTCAGTAATCCATGCTGAGATGGTTCTCCTAGACAAACTAACACTGAAACCATTTGGCTTTGTCTCTGCAGCAGCCACCATGCACTTTTTCACAAACTCTCCCTTTACATGAGACCTCAGCTCTTTGTGATTAGCTTGCTCACCACATAACTTGTCTGAATAATAGTGTCTCTGTCACAACAAGGCCTAGTGAGAGCGGCTTGTTGTGATCCCAAACTCCACTGAAAAGCATTGATTTATTCCAGACGCACTTGACCTTCCGAGTCACTGAGTTTCGCATGTTTTGAGCTGCAGTATCGCCCCAGATCTGCTTTGTTTTCAGGACTAACTCACTGCCACAAACTAGGCATGCAGATTGGCCTTTGACTTCAACAAGAAAATAATCATTTGTCCATTTCTCTTGGAATGACTGACTATGCATCGCCTTTCCTTTATAGTTGTCATTTGTAGGGTGTCCGGCCAGTGATGTAACTATCCAGGATGTGTCGCTAGTGATGCAATTATTTTGCTTTGATTGCTGTTCTAATCCCGCATCTGGGACTTGGAACATATCCAACATTTTCTATTATCGACTCTTGAGGTCTTTTTTGTGTACTGTACTTTCCTTAATCTCCACAGGAGATTCTGTTTTTGTGAGGATTGTTGATCGTGGATTTGTGTTGACAGAGAGGCTGACAACACTGTTGTCACTCATCAGAGGCCAGGTCATCCATGCTGCGTGGCGTCATCTCACTGCATCTTGTCTCACCATCCCTGGAGCGCCGTCGTTTTGCACAGTGGGTTAACACTTCTGCAGTGTGTACATTCCCAGCCTGCCTGGCATTGACTGACCTCTGACTCACCTAATACAGACAGCCAATGAGAAGCATACGTGTCCTGTCTGCCAGAACTGATGTTCCTTGTTTGTCCCTCAAAATTTACATTATGATGATGATTCATTTCATATAAATTTATGTTGCTATGAAAAAAGCTCCTAGATTTATTGAATTTTGAAAGTTGCCTGTGATTGCCTCTGCAGAGCCAGACCAAATGATTTCCCCAAGCCTGTTATTCAGGTTCACTATGAGTCGAAACAGACTCCACGGCATTTAACATGTTGCTTAACACGCACACTATGCTCTGTGAAATACAGCATTATATAAAGAAATACGGCATTATGTAAAGGAGAAAGGTGCACACAAAAACATGGGGCCAGCCCTGTGTGGTCACTGGCCCCAGGGTTCCTACTCACCATCCAGCCTTCCTGTTCTCTCCTCAAAGTCCACACTGCTCTATGGCTACAGCAGCTGAAGCTCCAACCTCAGGACCAGTCATATGCACATGGTGTCCAGGTCAGGTGGGGCAGCAGCCTCAGTGCAGGTGATGTCTGCATGGTCCTTGCCTGAGGAGTATGGTGGAACGTCCCCCCTGCCAGCCCCAGGGTCCGGGCAGTGGTGGGACCTATAGAGCTAGTCTGAGTCAAGCTCTGGATCTCTTAGCAAAGTATGTCTGCTACATCCTGTTCCATCGGAAATCTGAACTCTGATTATAGCCTTGTTATTAAGTGCCATCGAGTCAATTCCAACCTACAGTGATCCTGTATAAGGTTTCCAAGGAGCAGCTGGTGAGCTTGAACCACCTACGTTGCAGTTCAAACGGCCCTGCAGTCTAATTAGCCCACAGAGCCACACCAGGGTTCTGATTATAGCCTTAGGGGACCACAAACGTGGTTGCACACACACTGCCTGAACAGTTTTCAGAAGAAAATTTCTCTTGAATTCCTTTTGTATATCCTTTCTGGAGCTTTCATAACTACTTGAATTGTAGGTTTATATCTTTTGTTGATTCTTCGGAAATTATCATCTTCATTTCTTCAAATTTTTTTTTAAGATTTCCATTGTCATTCTTCTTTCCTGCAATTCCAAATGACATGACTGTTCTACAGTTCATGAAACTATAGATTTTCATTGTTTTCTCTCTGTTCAGATTGGATAACTTTTGTCATGACATCTTTTAGTTCACTGATTCTTTACTCTTAGCAGTCTCCTGGGCTCATCCATGAAGGCTTTTTGTATTGTTTTTAATTTTAGTAATTGTATATTTCAGTCTTAAAATTTCCATTTGGCTCATCTTTACCTCTTTGGTGTCCCTTTGTGGAGACGTCATTTTTTCATGTTTCAGTTGTGTTCATAAATAATGGAATACATACTGATTGAATCATATTAAAATTTTGTTAGAGAAGGTCAATTTGGATAAATATTACGTGGGACACCTGTTCCACTGAACTCCCATAGGATAGGTATGAGAAAAACCTTTTATTTTTTGCAAATTCATTTTGTTGTTTGAAACTTGTGAAAATATGAATATTTAAAGGCACCCTGCTGTGGCTGTACTAAATTGTTGACTCTTCTTAGAGCTGAATTCTCTGCCTCGCCTTCTAGATCCCCTGATGGGATCTGTCAGAGCCATACTGTCATTTGGCATCTTACTACTAGCTTTTTCTTCATAGTCTTTTGATTTTCTGGTCCACAATAAACTGCCCAATGAGAAAGAGCCAGAAGGAAAGTTGGCTGCATCTGCCTCATGGTTACAGTTCCACAGTGTGAAACTGTCTGCAGTGTCATGGTAGAGAAGGAAATACAGCGACTGGCCCACCACCTAATGATTATATATATGTTCTTTGCGTCTCTGGGTAAAGCGGTCCATTCTTCCCGTCACTGCATTGTATTCTGCAACTGCTCTTTGGCAAGGGACTACTTACTGAAACACAACTGTCTTTTTTCTTTCTCTTGACACTAGTGATATTCTTTGGGTTGTGGAATGTCAACACACCTTATCGTCCTGCCGTTTTACTGCTGACACACATTGTTTCACATGAAGCAGAGATTCTTCCCCCTCTAATGTTGTCTTCATTTTTGGTGGTTGTTGTTAAGCACCATCGAGTCGATTCAGACTCACAGCGACCCTGTTGTATAAGGTTTCCGAGGAGCAGCTGGTGAGTTTGAACCACCAACCTTTGCAGTTCAAGCTGACCTTGAACTTGAGTGCTTATCCTACAGCATCACACCAAGAGTGATAGAGGGGGAAAAACAAAGCCAAAGGCAGTGAGTGAGCTTGTAAGAAAAGTTGCAGGAATTATATAGTCCAAGTACAACACTCACTGAGGAAGAAAGCTAGTCATTGTCTTCACTTTTTTCCAGAATAGATATCAAGTTGACTGACAAAACCAGATGGTGACTCAGTCAAGCAGCAACCTTCCACCTGCACTTGGTGGGTTTCCTTGGCACCTACTGCTTTATTGACGAATGCCACTATGCTTTCATCAGCTACCATGACACTTGTTGGCACATATAGGCAGCTACTGAGGGGGTGCAGTGATAACGGGGCACAATTGTAAGGCTGGTCATAGCATCATTTTCCTTTGTGCGACACTTTGGAATTGTCATTGCATGGTATTTTCTCAATTTCTGGACTCTTCTCTCAGTCATAAGTTCTGAAAGTGCAATCACGTCCAAGATGGGGGTCACTGAACCAATGAATGAGGTCTGAACTTTGGCATCGGTGCCCGCACAACATTGTATTTTCCTCTGCAGTTGGAGGCTGCCAGTTTTCACTTCATATTCTGATCTGCCCGGTGTGTGTTGTGCGCTTCTGAGTCAAAGATTCATTGGGTCCTAGGCACCACAGAACAAAACACTGCCTGTCCCCGTGCCCGGCTTCCCAACTGTCGTGTGAAGCCCACGGCTGCAGCCACTGTGAATCCAGGTCATTGGGGCTCAGCCTCTCTTTCGCCGACCCTTCAACTTTGCCAAGCATGATGCCCTTTTCCAGGGATTGGTCCCTCGTAACATTCAAAGTCTGTGAGGCGAATCTCACCATGCTCATTTCCAAAGAGCATTCTGGCTGCACTCGTTCGAAAGCAGATTGGTTTATCCTATTCTGCTTTATACAGCATTGTTACGCGTTGTAAATTACTTCCCCAAACCTCAAAGGAGAGCTGTTTCACCCATTCTGTGATTGATGTCTTTTGTAGACAATATAACTTTCTTTAAATCCAAGCTGGCGTCAAATGCAGCTTCATTCGAAGAGCTCCCACCAGTCAGGAGTCCAGGGTTCCCAGAAGGGCTTTAACCCCACAAGGGCCGCGCTCCTGGGGCTGTTTCCACAACGGGCCTGGACGTCGGAGACCGTCTGCTCAGCCCGCAGTCTCGGCCGCTCGCCGCTCCGCGCCCTCGGCAGGTTTTACAACGTGGAGGCCCGGTATTTGAGCGGGCCTAGAAATGGCGGAAAACAACTTGTCCTTAACGGCTTCGCGTTGTCCCGGGGCTGACGCAGTGCGTGAAGACTCCGTCTCCCGTCATACGGTCACTGGCTGCAAAATGGCCGTCCTGCGCGGACCTGCCAACGGGGCACGGGGCGCGCGTAAGTGACGTCATAAAAGGCGGCTTAGCGTCAAATTCCGAAGTGTCTGGAAAGACGCCCGGTGGTCGACCGCTAATGACCAACGATCTTAAGAGTTGTGGGATGACATCAAGAACATCGTAGAGGAAGAAAGCCAAAAGTCATTAAGAAGGCAAGAAAGAAGAGAAAGACCAAAATGGAGGAGGTCACAAGAGATTCTGAAATTTGCTCTCCAGCACAGAGACGTTAAAGCAAATGGAAAAAATGAAATAAAAGAACAGAAAATTTCAAAGGGCAGCTTGAGAAGATAAAGTCAAGTATTATGAAATGTGTAAAGACCTGGAGTTAGAAAACCAAAAGGGAAGGACATGCTCTGCATTTCTCAAGCTGAAAGAACTCAACCTTCTACTTGCAATATTGAAGGATTCTATGGGCATCTCTCTGTTTCTATCTCTCTCCCTCCATCTCTCTCTGTCTTCCTCTACCTATCTCTCTCTCTCTCTCTAATTCTATCTGTATCTATCTCTCTGTCTCCCTTCATTGGTCTATATTTTTCTATCTGTATCTCTGTCTCTCTATTGCACTCTGTCTCTATCTCTGTCCATCTCTCTGTTTCTTTCTCTATCTCTAGTCCTTTATCTGTCTCTCTGCCTATCTCGCTATTTATCTTTCTGTCTATCTAATCATTCCACTTGTCTGGCGCTATAGGATAATCCCTGGACTGCTAACCACAGGCCTGTGGTTCAGCCGCACTGGCCACTCCTTGGAAACCCTATACAGAGTCGTGTTAGAACAGAATTGCCGCAGTTAACAATAACATATGTGACTCTCTCTATATCGAAGATTTCTTTGCCAATTCAGTCATTTTTACATGTAAAGGGGGCTTCAAAAAAGTTTGTGGGAAAATTGCATTGTCTTTATTTCCTTTTCCCTACAAATATTTTGAAATCTGCTTGTACAGTTCAGTGATACTGTGTTCATTGTCTACAACCATTACTATTTTTCCCCAAAACAATTCCTCCACTTTTAACAGAAACTTCATGTCCCCTAAGCAATGAACCCCCTTTTTCTCTCCCTCCCATGCATAGAAGCCACTAATGTTTTGGTCTGTCTATTGTTGCATATTTCATGTAAGTGGGATCATAAAATATTTAATCTTTTGTTTCTCTTTTCACTCAATATAACATTTTCAAGGTTCATCCATGTAACAGCATATATGAGAACTTCATTTCTGTTAATGACAGTGATTGTCAATTGTATGGATGCACTATACAATGGTACAATAAACAAATGTTTATCTATTTATTTTGGTAAGCATTTAGGTGGTTTCCACCATTTTCAGTGAGTATTAGTGTCCAAGTTAAGTTTGTGGGGCAGCCAGACTCTAGAGGTTCCAGAATGCAGATGTTGGATTTCTCTCTAAGATGTGAGGAGGAGAGAGGGAGATCCTTTGCCTTTGTGGAATAGGACCCCAGAATAGTGAGCAGTGTGTCAGGTCCATGATCAGAAGCACAGTGTCCTTTCCCTGTGGAAACATTTAGTTTCTCTCATCCAAACATGTTGAAGAGCAAAGATGTCAGCTTGAGGACTAAGGTGTGCCTGACCCAAGCCATGGTATTTTCAATAACCTCATATGCATGCGAAAGCTGGACAGTGATTAAGGAAGACTGTAGAAAAATTGATGCTTTTGAGTTATGGTGTTGGAGGAGAATATTGAAAGTGCCATGAGCTGCCAAAAGAACCAACAGATCTGTGTTGGAAGAAGTGCAGCCAGAGTGCTCCTTGGAGGCCAGGATGGCGGAATTTCATCTCTCATACTTTGGACATATTGTCAGGAGGGACCAGTCATTGAAGAGAGATAATCATGTTTGATAAGTGGAGGGTCAGAGAAAAAGAGGAAGACCCCTAATGAGATGAATTGGCCAAGTGGCAGCATCGATGGGCTCAAGCATAGCAACAATTGTGTGGTTGGCCCAGGATCGGGCAGTGTTTCATTCTGTTGTGCATAGGGTTGCTATTAATTGGTACCAACTCGATGGCACCTAACAATAACATATGTATACTACAAAAACTTATTATGGACACATGTACTTACACACCTGCCACTGCATATATCATAAGGAATCTTGACATGCCTGATGTGGCACTGTAGGATAAGCACTGGACTGTGAACCAAAAGGTTGGTGGTTCAAACCCACCAGCTGCTCCTTGGAAATCCTTTACAGGGTCGAAATGAGTCAGTATCGACTCCATGGTCCATAACAGCATCAACAAGCATATGTATACTATTCAGGGGCTTGATGGTTTTCATTTACTAGAATGCCAGTGAGTCAGTATATATGCAGAATTTCACTGATTTTTTAATGTGTGAATTGCATCATACTGGTGTGTTGTATTTTGCTCTGAAAATTTATATTGATAATTTCTCACTCTTATAAGCAAAATAATGAACATTATTTGTTGTTGTTAAGTGCTATCAAGTTGGTTCTGATCCATAGTGACACTGTATAGGATTTCCAAGGAGCGGCTGGTGAGCTTGAACTGCCAACCTTGCAGTTTAAGCCAACTTTGCAGTTCAGCGCATGAACCCAGAGCACCACACCAGGACTCCATGAACATTATTACTACACATTATTTTACATATGTACAATGATGGTTGTAGTGTTTCATTTTGTTTTATGACAGTAAGCTAACCAGTGGGATTCTGTGGTTCTGCGGTAGGTGGGTTACTCACAATGAGCAGTTTATCATGGGGCAAATGATTCGAACGTGTTCCTGTCTGCCTTGTCCACACCATCTGTTGCTATCCACATTGCATTGGATGTGTTATTCCAGGGCTCCTTATCCTTTGAGGTGTGGCTGTGGGCTTCACGTGGGAGGAGGGGCAGTTCTTGGACCTGTACAAGGCCATGATGTTGGAGAGCAACAACCAAGTGTCCGTAGGTAGGGCGGTGTCATGGGTCAGGGCCCTCTTGTGGGCTCCAACAATCATTGTTTCTTTTTCATTTGGTTAAATTATAATGGACCTCATAAATATTTAATATTTGGACTAAAGCCTTGTAGGCCATTTCATTCTCCTCCCGAATAAAAGGTTTTTACTTAGCCAGGTACGCATCATGTGGTCCCTGAAATATAATCTCCTCCACTTCCCAGATTCCCCCAAGCGTAAGTATTTGGTGCCAAATATTAAGTGCCTTCCCGTTTACAGGGTGTAAGGCTACTGAGCCAAATTCAGTCTTCAACTTGTAGCAAGAAGACCCTCCATGGATAGTGGAGGGAGCAATGTACAGTCGGACCCGACCCGGTGAGTGATTGACAACCAAGACAAGTGGCAGAATGACACTACAATCCCAGCTGCCTGGTGAAGGTCTGAGACAACTTTAGAAATGCTGTTTTGGGGACTTTTCTTGCAGCACCTGGTGCCCCACAGTGCTGGCCAGAACCTTCAGCATTAGAGCTGTCTTCACTCACGTGTTCAGTATTAAAAGACAGTGTTACTCCATTAACTCTCTTCTGAATCGATCTGTCCAGCTCACGTTGGCCCTTGGTTTCTTGTCTGGTTCCATTCTTCCTGTTGCCCTCATGTTTTCTTCTACGGTCATCTCACTTCCTGCTCTCCGTGTTTGTTGCTATGAGCTCTTCCCTTTCGACTTCTGCAGATAACCTTGTACTCAACCCTGCTGTTATCCATCTTTTTAAAGGTTGACTCCCCTGCCTGACACTCCACCTGGACTGAGTTCATATGAATTCACATACCTTGTCTGTCAGGGCAACTTTATCAATTTAGCATCCTGGTGTGGAGCTGCGGGTCAGCACTGGACTGTGAAACACAAAGTTGGCAGTTCAAACCCACCAGCCGCTCCTCAGAAACCCTATACAGACAGGGTCACTATGGGACGGAACCGACTTGATGGCACTAAACAACATCAACATGGTTTAATGAACTAGAATAACACAGAAGTCAGGAAAGTGCTATAATTGTATGGTTTTATCATAGAAACAAAGGATACAAAAGAAGAGATACATAAAACAAGGTCTTGGAGGATCTGCAGCAGAGTTTCCACCAAGGAAGTTTCTCAGGGAAGCAGAAGTCTCCCTTTACAGTGCTAGCCAGGAAGCTCACTCTAGCTCTTCGGGGGTTGGAGTTTTTAATGGAGGTCTAAACATATGCATGAGTGATTGCGTTGTTGGTCACATGATTGAAGTGACTCTCCAGTCCTGTTCCCCTCCTTGGTTGCTATGCTAGCACCATATGGTGGTTCCTTCTGGTATGGCTAGCTTTCATGCCTGAGTCACCTCCTTACTATAAACTCTCAGGTGTGGTCTGGAACTCCCCCATCAGTAACACTCTAATTGCTTGGGGAATTATAAGCATTAAAGGTTACCTCCTAGTAATCAGGAACGCTGGTGGTGTGGAAGGTTAAGCATTGGACTGCTAACCGAAAGGTCAGTGATTCAAACCCACCAGTTGCTCCACAGGAGAACACTGGATCAGTCTGCTTCCAGAAGGAGTCTCAGCCTGGGAAACACTATGGAGCAGTTGTGTTGAGTTCGAGTTGACTGAACGGCTGTGGTCCTCCTAGGGACCAGGGACAAAGACCAAGTTTGTTGGGTTCAGTAGTGAACCCACAGTAGTGAAGATTTCCCTTCTCTCTGTTCTGATAGAGATGAGGAGAGAAAAAAAAAAAAAAAAAAACAATCAAATTATACTCACCTGACATGAAACTCTTAAGAACCAATTTATACGCATGCTGACTGTAGAATTTATTGTAATCAACTTTTAGAAGAGACAAATACATCATTTTCAGCAGAATCTCCTTGCTTTTTAGTACCTTTTGTCCATCTGTCAACAAGCTTTCATATTCCCTAATTTAAAAATGTTCTAGGCTGAGCTGTGAGCCAATGACTGCACCACTGTCTCCACTTCATCAGAGGTGAATCTTGGTCCTCAAAGAGCAGCTTTCAGGGGACCAAACAGGTGAAAGTCCGATTGGAGCATGATCAGGACTACAGGGAAGATGCTTTAACACCTCAACATGAAGTGTTTGCAGGCTGTCAACAGTCTGGCCAGAGGTGCAGGGCTGTTAAATAACAAGGTACAACTCAGTATCGGGATCAACAGAACCTAGACCAGGAAGCATGTAGGCAGTCTCCTTTCTTCACTGCTGGACAACTCTCTCAAGTTCTCCTGGACATTTAGGGCTCCTGTCAGGCGCCTCAGGACAGGCTCCGTGGGGCCCGGCCATCAGTCACTGCTGGCTCTGCCTCTGGATCCCTCTCAGGCCTCTTGTCCTCAATGTTACCTGTATTGCGGCTCTCTTAGGATGTTCTTGCTTACTAATAAGACATCTGGGTCAAAAGTTTATCAACAGAAGAATGAATACATCAAATTCGGTAGAGTTTAAAATTTGCATTCTCATAAATAAAAGAGAAGGAAGTACTGGTGATCAAACAACAGAGTTGAATCTTAGAAACATATTGAGGGAAAGAAGTCACACAAATTCACTTGTATCAAATATATCAGATTCAACACCAGACAAAACCAATATTTGGTGATATAAATCAAAATAATATTTCTTACTTATGAGACAGTATTGATTATTGATGGGCATAGGATAATTTCTGTAGTGAAGAAAATAAACGATCTTTATATGTTAAATGGTTGTTGTT